CTTTCAAACTGTTCACACGAGTGATGACACAAATGTTTGGGCCTAAGTCAAGGCCCAAACATTAAACAAAAAATGTCAGTCCAAACACTTATATTTTTATTTATTTTTTCATTTTTTTCTCTTTGTTTGGTGAATCTATTTAAGGACGTTTTGGCAGAATTCCAATTTAGTATGCTGTTTTCTCTCTCATTAACCCATACCTTCATGGCTTCATGTTAAAAACCATGCAGTTGCCTTTATGAATGCTAGATTAGCCGATTAGGTTAGGCCTTATTTTTTTTAACAAGACGATAGGAATTAGGTTAGGTCATTGCATCTAACATGTAAATGGGATCATAAATTTAAATTTCTTTCTATCCACAGGCGGCTTTTAAACGTTGAATCAACAAACATCCACATGAGTATGTGGGTATGTCTGAACTGATAAAAATTATGTGTCAAACACGTAGAGTCCACAATAACTCAATTTAACACAAAATAAAAACATATTTCATGTCATGAAAAGTTGCCGAGCGATAAAAATGACTCGCAACTCACTTTCTTCAAACTTCACCTTCATACAATTCATGCAAACACAGGACGGAAATGACTATCATTTGCAAACGCCAAACTTACTTCACGTTATATGCTGCCAAGCAACATATGAAAACACATACACAGAGAAGAAGTAGATTGAGACCTGTCTGCACTGAACTTACACGAATATGATTACATAATCAAACACACTATAATGGAAATATCAGACGCGACCATAAACTGATAATACAAAAGTTGCACTCATCACAATCATACCATCAATACACATAGACTATCTCCCAACTTAAGTAAACTTACATAAAATCTTTCACATGACAGCTACCATAAATAAAGGAATATATCAACTCTGATTCCATAATGTATCATAATATCATCAACCATGAATTCATGACTGCAGGCAATAAATAGCAGCATAACACAACATTATCAACAAAATATATCCCCCAAAAAAATAAATACAATGAACGAAATATAATCTAAAAGCAGCAAACATCATCGCTACCATTATTACACCTTCACCGCTTTAAACGTCGGGTGGAGCAAACCAAGCTCATCCCTCACTTCAAGTGGATTACTCGTCTCATTCCTTATTCTCCTCACTTTCCTGCTAGCAAGCGAGTTATGAACAAACCCATACATCTGCAGAATCTGATCATCCCCAAAGTTAAAAGCCCTGTCCATCTGTCTCAAGCACCTCTCCACCGAATAATCCCCAAATTTCAAACACGGCTTGCAACCCACAAAATGGGTCACAAGCGGCCATCTATGGTCCCCAAATCCTGGGTGATAATTCTCAATCATCTCTTCATACTTATCCACAAGAATTCCCCAATAGCCATGTAAATAATAAGCACTTTCCAGATAAACCTTATCCGCCCACTTTTCCTTCTGAGTCGCCAGTATGTAAACCATGGCCGACTGGTCGTCTGCCTCGAAAACTGGCCTGTCTTTCAGCTCACTCGTCAGAAGCTTCCCAGCTTCCTCGCGAATCGGGCCCTTCGGGCCCATTGGGGCCAATGTATCTAAAATATCTAACGACCACTGACAATTTCTCAACAAGAAGCTACCCGTGTTTAGACCGATCCAATTTTTCTGATCGTAAACCATTTCATTCCACCCATGCATAACGAGATTATGATCTTTATACCTCTCCCATGGCAGCTCGAAGGCCATGTCAGTAAACATGGCGTCACTGTCCATCCACCACAGGAACTCGACTTCAGGGTGGGAAAGCAGGAGCTTGCGCATCAATGGCAGTTTCGCCCAGAAGCCCGCCATCTCGGCATCAAGCAGAGCCATGTTGTAGAAAATCTCAATCCCGTGGAGTCTGCAGTAATCGATCTTGTTCTTGATTGATTTCAGAAGGTAATGGTCACCGACTGGATTCTCGCATGGCTTGGGGGAAGATCCGGTGACCAGCAGTACCCTGGGTTTGTTTGGGGCGACGAAATTTGGGAAATTAGGGTTTTTTTTCAGCCAATCCCCTCTTTGCTGGTCCCAATCCGATATTTTCGGGCCGAGAGCGTAGGGCTGTGAGGGATCCCGCTTGATTTCCTCGACACCGTCGTCCTCGTCCTTGAGGATCTTCGTTACGTCGAAGTCGGCGTAGCTCCTGCTGCCGGAGGAGGATGAGCCGCCGTCGGATAGTTTCCGGGATGAGATGGAGGCCTCCTCAAGGACACGGCGCGGCTCGGCCCGGCGGCGGATGTAGGAGAAGGTCTCGCGGATCTCGTGGAGATCCTTCTCCGGCGTGCCGAATTTACCGGCGCCGAGGTTGCCGCGGAGCATGAGGACGGTGAGGAAGAGACAGAGGAAGGTTAGCTTGCCGTTGCGTACGAGGCGCTGGAGCTGGCGGGCCCGGCGCGCGCCCAGCAGCCGACCGATCATGGCGATTTATAGGAAATTAATATTAAATAAAAAATAAATAAATTGAAGGGGAGATTGGAGATGCGAGAATTTGCAGGGAAATTTTTGGGAGTGATGATGATCAATGGGATATTAGGGTTTTCGATTTTAATTTTTGTTGATGGTTATGTAGGGTTCGAGTTTGTGGGTGGGATTGATTAATGGCGGAAGGTGAAAATTGGGCGTCGGTGGAGAGTTGCAGAGTGGGAAAAGGGTGGGGGAAATGAAGTGATAATTTGTTTTTCCACGTCCGACAAGACAGACATTTCACATTTGCGTGTTTTCTGTTCAGGAATGATTTACTAATTACTCACTTCTATTTTTATTATTTATTATTAATTAATTATTTATTAAATAAATATTATTTTAATTATTTTGTACATATTTTTTATTATTATTCTCATTTAACCAATAAATACACTACGTATTTTCATATTTAATCTCCATCTTTTTTCAACTATCCTCATTAATGTTTGCTTGTTTTGTTGTATAATATGAGAGTAGTTAAATTAATTGTGCATAACTTTTGGGTAAAACATCGATTTACATTAAAAAACGTTTTGCTGGTTGATTGGTATAATATGTTTGCTGGTTGATTTACATAACTTTTAGTTAAAACATCTCGTATAATATGTTTGCTGGTTGATTGGTATACTGAGGATCCACTTCAAACAATAACTCATAAGTCCTAAGCAGACGAGAAGGGTACCACTACATTGATTAATTGGTAGTATTGTATTGGCTTCTAGCTAGTTGAATGACTACCGGTTATGTTCGGAAAATCATAAAAAAAAAAGTAACACTAAAAAAATATTATAAATAGGAAATAAATAACAACAATGTTGTTGTTAGGTTGTTTAATATTTGAGCAGCCGTAATTTCTTTCTAACAAAGCATATTCGTACTATGAAATACATTATTGTTATTTAAGTTATGTTTTAAAGCATGATATTTCGGTGTAAAAGTATGTATTTGTTTAAATAAAATAACTGTATAATGCGGTCGCAATATTTTTTTTTTTAATTTTTATTGTTTTTCACTCATTCTATTTTTACTTATGTAGTAAACGTTTTTATGTTTGACAACTTTATTTATAGCGTTTATAGTATTGAAGACATCTAGTGGGTTTGGACTCACTTTTTTCTTCCCCCGTTGCATCTTCTTTAATCTCAATTTAAATTTTCTCTTTCTCAAGTTTTCATTTTGGGTAAAACATCCATCTCCAACTTATATTAATTATGCATAACTTTTTGCATCAATTATCTTCGTCTGCTTTCGCATATTATATCGCATAATTATCCATTATGTTTACTTGTTTTGTCGTATAGTTTATCGCATAATTATTTGCACTTTATCAATTATCATTGCCTGTTTTTCACATAGTATATCATCTAATCATTTCTCACTTTATCACTTATCTTCGCTTGTCTGTCGCATACTTGATCGCATAACTGTTTCGCACTTTATAAATTATCATTAGTGTTCACATAGTTTCTCGCATAATTATTTCACACTTTATCTCAATTATGTTCGCCGATTTGTCGCTTAGTGAACGCATAATCGTTTCGCACTTTATCAATTATCTTCGTCTTTAATTCGCATTGCCTATCGCATAGTTAATTCGCACGTTAGAGATTATCTTTGTATGTCTGTCGCATTGCTTATCGTATAATATATTTCATACTTTATGGAGTGAAAAAGTTAAGATATTATTTAACGGTGTGTAAAACTTATTCTGTATTCATAGCAGGGTGAAAATAACTATTTTCTCTTATTATAATGGGAAAAGTCCAAAAATGGTCCTCCATGTTTAGGGGGTATCCAGACTGAGTCCCTATTATGTTTTGGTGCCCAATTTTAGTCCTTAAAACAAAAAAGTGGACTTTTTCTTATTATAGGGACTACATTTGCTTGTTTTAAGGACCAAAATTGGACACTAAAACATAATAGGAATTCAGTCTGGATACCCCCTAAACATAGATGACCACTTTTGGACTTTTCCCTATTATAATTATCAAAATATTAGGGAGAATTTTATCTCTACACAACATTTACTATTTAATTGCAATATTGCCAAGTGAATTAATTAATTTGTAAGTTTACCTAATGTGTGGAAATTAAATGTTGCGGTTACCTCAACAAACATAAATCACTCTCCTTAAATAATAGGATTTGAATGAGCCGATTTATTTGCAAAAAATAAAAATAAAAAATAAATGGAATGTGTATATTACCTATCGTATGACGCAACAAAATTGAAGAAGATTCAAAAATTCAATCGATCTTGTTGATACTATCCCGTAATATATTCTAAAAAAAAAAATAATTGTTGCGGTTTTATATACTCAACATATACATATAATATATACAGTTGATTAGTTAAAAACTTAGTTAAAAGTCTATACACTATATAAAAATTGAAAAGTGTATCAGTATAAACGAAACATATACTAAATAACAGTATATTTGTCGGGAACATATACAGAAGATATATTCATTGTATACATAGGACATAAAAGAAAATACACAAAAGACAAATCAATCTTGTCATTATATACAGAACATATACGGAAAATATACAAAAACCGCATTAGGGACTACGTTTAATATTGAATCAGATCTCTTTCTCATCGATGCCCATATACATACATATACATATACATACAATTAATCCTTCATATCCATTTTCTTCATTCTCATCTTCTTTTTAGTTTATCCTACTCCTGTCATCTCTTTCAGAATCCCTCTTCCTCTCCTCCCTTCTTGTACTCGATTTTTCACGGCTTTCATCATCATTTTCTCTCTGTCTTTCCCTTCCACGCCTGGACCCTAATGTTCGGACTTCCGCCATGAACCCTAATGTTCAGACTTCTGCAAGTGGGATGGAGAAGGAACGAAAAGTAATTCTGGGAAGGAAGGAGCGGATCTAGGGTTGTTCGTCGGCGATGTCAAAAGAAAAACGAGAGGTTGGGAAGGTTAATCTTACGGGCTGAAGTGAAGAATAAGAGAAGGGAGATGGAAGGGGAGAGAGAAGAATAAGAGAGATAGGGAGAAAGAAACGTAATTGGGGGAAGAGAAATTATTTGTTTCCTTAAAGATATGTAATTAATGATTTAATTCATCATTAACTAATATAGATAGATGTTTTCTGGTATATTTACAAATAAAAACATGATTTTAGGTAGGATTGTTAATATTTACTATAGATGTTTAATTGTGTAATAAAAAATAAAATATAGGGAAATTTTCATCTATCCTATAAGATTTAAATTTATTTGCGATTTTGCAGCTACTATAAGTTTAATTGCATATATAACTAAACCTATTGAATTAATTGGAGATTTACTTGATTTCAATTACCATACAAAAAAATGTTGACTCACAAGAGAGAGAGAAATGAAAATAAATAACTTACTCATTTAATTCCTTAATTCGCGCAAGAATGTCAGGTGGTCTATATTGAGTTTATGTTAGTATATATTCAGTATATGTGCACAACTTGAATTCCTTAATTCCCGCAGCTGTCAGGTGGTATATATTGAGTTTATGTTAGTATATACTGAATATATGTATAATTTAACAACATATTATAACAGATTATTTAATATAAAACCATACATATACACAACACCAACAAAAAAATTCAGTTTATGCTAAATATAAATTGATTTTATACATAAAAATTATGTCTCGCGATAAATTTCTTTATCATATACCGAAAATATACTGAATATAAATCATACATATACAAAAAAAAAAGTCAGTTTATGATTTGTCAAATATAAACCATACATACATATAAGGTAGCCCTTATATTATACAGAACATATACTTTATATATACACAACATATACCCCCAACCAAAAAATTGGGCTAAATGAAAATAGAAAAACCAAAAAATNTTAAGTGCCCATATAATTGTCTTGCCCACCGCCACTATCATCATCCCAAAAACACCATAAACAACCCAATAGCAAAGCAACAAATGCGAAACCCACAAATCCATAAAATTGAATAAGAATCAAATCATATACTATATGATAATTTGGATAAATTTTATACAAGAAAAGGATGATGCGTCCAAATTAGTACAAAATTGTCAAAGCCACCGGGCAACTTAAATTCCTTTTGATTTGTTTGGATTTTCTTCGCACCTCTGCCTGCGTCAGAGAGGAAGCGGCGGAGCACGGCGGGACATGCGTCGGCGACCTACACAGAGATGTAAAGTGGACGAATCGTATGGGCGGTCGGGCTGACACCATGGAATCTCCCCTTCGTGCAATTTCTCTCTGTGTGTGCCAACAGTTTCTCTCTCTCTATGCCAAATTTTTTATCGGACAGATTGAAGGGTGGGTTAATTCCTTGATATTAGGAATCTATGAATATTATCTATTCTTTCCATATTTAAAAGATATAATTAACAAAACTAAATTCTGGTATAAGTGCAAATAAGTAGGGTGAATTTAATATATTTTTAAATAAATATTAATTGAGTGTAAATATGTAATATAAAATATATATGATAGTATGGGTGTAAATTCCTCTAAAATATATGGTGTAGGGAGTAATTTTCTCAAAATATTACACTTGTACCAAAAATTCGAAATGTCAGCCCAACACAATGGTGTCCCGACAAGAATTGTTTCTGCCAGCCCAATTCAAATATTAGCACCATTTATTCACATGCCTCATCTTTTCGAAATTCAAATCGAATTTTCACAATCTCTCAAAAAATATCCCTCGGATCTCTCTCGCAAACTCGCACCTGCGCGGAGGCACTTGGAAAGATGGTAATTCTGCTCAACTTTTTGTTTATGTTACGTTGCGCCTTGCTTAAATCTCGATTCTGTTGAAGCTTGTTCGCTCGAATCGATGGGGAAACGCTATATGNTTATTCCTTGTCGTGGTTATGTGTGATTTTCATTGGATTTGGGTTTCTTCTTTGCTAAATCTTCAAACGTTTATGCAAAGATAGGTGGAGGAGTAGTATTAGCTTTAATGTCGAAGATTGAAATGGATGAAATAAAGAGGGATGGATAAGAAGCTCTCCCCTGGTAGAAAATTCGAAATATCACAGTTATCCATGTGAATGGATAAATAAGTTAAACAATGTTATCAGGCTCTGTTGTGTGTGTGTGTGAGGATTACTGTTGCAATTCTAGTTGAAGGTGTTTTGCTGTTCAATGGTTAATTGATTGTAATGATTGCGTAGAGTTTTGTACAAATAAGATGTGGCAGGTTATGTCAAACCAAACCTTGGGATTTTAGTGTGCTCATGCATATTTGCTTATGTGAATTATGCAGTATGATCATTCATGTTGCTGTGGAAATGGAGAACCATAATGAATTCATCTACAGCATAGTTTGGATAATTACCATATAGGGAGGAATCACTTAATAATATGGTGAATCTTTTGTTGTGGTGAGTTAGTTCTTTGGAAACGGGGATATTCTAGATTATTCTTTCAGGAGGCAATTAGTGTAATGAACAATTTCTATGTTGATAATTATTGTGATGTTACATCAACCTAGTGGGATATATGCAGAAGCTTATGATCGGTGGTTTGTTGCATTGATTTATTGGTAATTAGAGGATATACGGCTTACGAATTGGGTCCCTGCCTTTGCTTGCAGGATGGGCATGATGGGGAGAATACGAAACAAAATACTTCTGACATGACTGCATTTGTAAGTTCTACCCAACTTTGTGTATAATAACTAGATAGGGCTGCTTTGTAGTTTTCACTTTATTTTGAAGTGAACATTTTTTGCCAGAATTTTGTGTTTTTCTGAGTTTGAATCTCTTGTCGGATTTTATCTATATCCTGTTTGTTCATCGGAGGATGAGTAGGTATATACTTATGTTCCTTTATTTGATGCATAAAAGGCGTGACATGCCTTGGTAACTAGTGTTACAATGGCCTGTGCTGACATTTCTGTTTTTGTTTATTTAGGTGCAAAACCTTCTCCAGCAAATGGTGAGTAAGAAGTTGAAGTTCTTATTTTGATAGTTGATTCAGTACATTGTACACTTGGCATTTCACTCATAATTCGTTTTTCTTTCAGCAAACCAGGTTTCAGACAATGTCTGAATCCATCATTGGGAAAAATATCCTGAACTGCTACTCATTAATATTATAATTTCTTTTCATTTTAGGTCATAGAAAGTGATTTCTTGAGTGAAACTATGATACTCTCGGTGATGCTTGCATTCTGCATTTACATTGTTCGGTAGATTCAATCATTCTCCTTGCTGCTTTTACTCGTTATGAATCTACTCGTGAAACTAATGTTGCTTTTATGACTAGATCTGTTTGAAAATCCATCATTGCTAATTTGTTAAGCCTCCATACAGAATTATTAAGTCGTCATATCTGTGTAGGGCTATATATGTATATATATTGTTATTAAAATAAAAAACCATGTTTCCCTAGTTTAGCCTAGTCACAAAAAACAAGCACTCAGTCAATTGGTTTTTATTTAAACAATTGCACCCACAAGAGTACCTGTTAGGCAAATACAAATTTAATGGAGTGTTTGGCACTTTTATCGGCCATTTTTTGAGTTTGTATCATATGTAGCCTCAACTCTTTATCCTTTTATGCATTTGTGTTTTATTCACAGAGACACATATATTTGTTTCCTTAACCTAGTTGTACTTGATGAGATGGGGAACCGAATTGATGAGTTAGAGCAGAGCATAAACGACCTTAGAGCTGAGATGGGCCAAGAGGGTTCTCCTTCTCCTTCGGCCCCATTGAAGGCAAAGGATGAAACTAAGTCTGCTCAAGACAGTTAACTCGACTACTGCCCGTGTTTCTACAATGTTGCTGCATTTTTCTTATGCTCGTCTCTGCTTTAAGATGGGAAGTTCATTTTTTCCCATTTCGTTTTTCTTCTATCTTCCGGAATCTTTAATCTTTACGACTATTTGAGTATTGTAGAAGGTGCACTCTGTTAATTGGGCTGAAACTGGCTTGCTGTGATTTGTATGTATCCCGGCAAGAAAAAACATTTTCGGTATGTGATATCGTCAAATATGTTTTAGGGACTGTATTTTCATTTTCTTGGACTGATTTAGCTTGAAAGGTTTATGATCTGCGGCGTAGCTTTGTGTCAATGCCACTGGTCTAATCTGTTGCAAATAACAAGTTGTGTGAGTTAGTCAAGTCAGAACATTGGGTGCCATTTGAGATAATTTTTTTTTTATTTTTTTCGTTTTATATTGAAACGAACAGTGTCGCATTGCATTAAGGTTCTGCGTCAAGTGGTCCACTGAACCATAATGATGGTATGCTTTGCCTTCTAATAAATAAATAAATTTATGTATTTTATACTTTTATTTTAAATAATAACTGGAAAATTGTTTTCCATCCTTAATTTTACACATTTGATTATGTGCGAGTTGTGTGTAGCCATAATGTTTGCCATTAGGTGAATGTTATGGTGCTCTACACCTTAGAGCATCTCCAATGCTCAACTTTCAACATTAATTAAATTTGAACACATGTCAATCAATGGATTAATGTTTAATCTACATGAACTGAATGTTAAAAGAATAGGATTTTCATTTGAATTGTTGCCTCCAATGCATCCATTCAACAACCATACAATTTGTATATGTGGATTTATTCAATTATTAATAAAATCAAAGAGTATATTAGAAAAAAACCACAAATTTCAATAATTATATCCATTATGTTATTTTTTGTTGATTCAGTTAATTTTTATTTATATCATCAAATTTATAAAATTATTATTTATTCAATAATTTCTCAGTTACAATATGTATAACCACACAATAAATATTTTTGTAATTGGTTCAAAATAAAACAACAAAATATTAAAATTGCAATAACTCAACAAACAAATATCATGAACATAATATTTTACTTTTAAGGACATTATTATTGATAAATTTTTTAAATTTTAGTTGTAACTCATCAAATAATTATACTGTATTCAAATAAATTCTCAAATGTTTTATTGGATAAATGTAAGGGTGAGATTTTTCCAAGTTTATGAAAAGCTCAAAATTTGTGTCAAATAATTATCAAAATGATGAGTCATCATGTTAGAAAGAATGTGAGGAATTAGAAAGTGAGCTTGACAATGTTAACATTAATTTTTTACACATAAGCATGAAAGGACTCATAATCTAATGCATTGGAGGATATATTATTCACACACTTTCTATCTAGATTAGGTGGATAACTTTTTACCCTTTCAAAAGAATGCATTAGAGATGCTCTTAGATAGCTATGTTTTGAGTTTTCTGTGACATTTTTTTTCTTTTCTAATAAATGTACATATAAATTGTTTATTAAATGTACATTTTTTTTTTCTTTTCTAGTCAAGTAATAATTGAAATTATAGCATTTGGTAGTCATTGAAATATATCATATATCAATATGCTTAAATTGTTTATTAATTAAATTATTAAATATGTTGTAAGAACATGAATTAAATAAATAAATATAGACAACAAAACATTAAAATTCAAAATAAAATATTTACCATGAAATTTGTGTTTCACAAGAGATAAAAGTTACTAAAAATTAAAAGATCTTAAGTTATTATTTCATGAAATTAGAGTTATTATAGAGAAAATTTGATTTTATGAATTATATGTTGGTTAGTTATCGAGCAATATGTAAAATATGAATTGCTAAAAACGCTTTAAGATGAATATAATCGATAATTATATAAGTACATGCAAGTAATTTGTAAACAATCATTATATTTAAAATATTACACTCTTATAATATTTTATAAACTAATAACTAATAAAATTCATACCTACAAAATAAAAATAAAAATATTTAAATAAATATTATATAATAAATATTATATTATTACAAATTTGATATGTTGTGTCGAATAGAATTGACATATTATCTTATACTATGATAACAAAATATTTTCTATACTATGTCAACACTAGTAAAAAATTGAAGTAACCGCAAGTAGGATGGCCACAATCTTCAAACTAGACAAAACTTCTTTGATTTACAAACAGACAACTTCGAAACCCATTCTTAGAGCATCTCCAATGCTATGGTTTTGAAAGGCAATAATTTTTAACACATGTCAATTAATGATTGTAATGTTAATCCACATAGGAATAATGTTAAAAGACTAAAAATTTGAATCAAACTAGTATCTCCAATGCATCAATTTGATAAGAATTTATTTGTATAGGTGGACCAATTATAATAATTTATTAATACAAGAATAATACAAAATTAAACTAAATATAAAATAAATTAATGAGTCATCATGTTCAACATGGTGTTAGATATTAGAAAGTGAGTGTAACATTGTCAACATTAAATGACATTCACATCATCATGAAAGAGCTAATGACAAGATACATTGAAGAATAAATTAGTATCAAACTTTCAAAAATTGATGATATGGATAATTTTTTACAATATCAAAAGTCACATTAGAGATGCTCTTAAACTAAACCTCTTGAAAGCCATTATTAAAAATTTATACCTTTTTTCCTTGTTAAAAAATGGCTATATACCTACAACTACAAAATACTGTTCAAAATTAAAATAAAAGATAAAAATTATTTCACTTAACTGCGTATTTAGTTTTTAAAGATGGTCAAAATGCGAAAACGGCTGCAATACATGAAGGGTAAGAACAAGATCCAAATATAAATAAACTTAAACTTGGCTTTGGTGGGGTGCGCCAGGCCCGTGCAGTAGTGCAACGCATGGGCGACGCTCAAAGGCCCAGGCAGCAAGCTACCTATTGGGCCTTTCCCCTAAAAAAATTAATTTAATATCGAGTGGGCCGATGGCCCACGTATCAGATATTAAACTGATAAGAACAGATACTACACTTGATCTTAGCCAAAAGGCCGAGAAAGGTATGCTTAATATGGGAGCAGGCCTTGGCCTTTTATAGCCTTGTGAAATAGCTGCCTTGTGTTTGCTTTCAATGTGGGATATCTGTGATTCGAATTTCTATATATTTTCTGGAGAAGCATCACAACAGCCGTTAGCTTTAGAATTTACTAGTGCATTACAAGGATACAGTAGGGTTTCTTAAAGAATTATAAGAAGTTTGATAATTATCAAGGTAACTTTATTTATGTTTTTTTCTTATACACTAAACAAGAAAAACAAATTAAAACGACTCGCTGACCCATGCAATGCATAGATTTTACATCTTTTCTTTTTCTCGATTTACTTGATAGAATGTTAAAATGCTGATTAACAAATGTATGGTTTTACTTTTTTTTTTTTTATTTCAAGTTATTGGGTAAAAATACTGTTGGAGCAGAGCGTTCCAATCAGATTGGATTTATTTCTACTTGTAAAAATAATTTATTAGAATTATATTATTAAGGCATTGTTTTATTTTATGTCTTTGCATTTATCCTATATTTGCACATATGATAAAGTCCTTAGATCATTAATGGTTATAAGACATGGTTGCGCATTTGATGGTAATCATGGAACATATCTTTAAAGCTGTGATCTTAAATACAGTTCCAAATCGTTAGATATTTCGAGATGGGATATCGAATAATCCGGAAATACTTGTACATATGATGTCTACTTGTTTGACAAGAATGTTGCATTCCATCAACATTAGCGTGGGTCGAAAATACATATATGTGGGTGCTTGTTAGAGAACAAGTTCACTGAACATGACCGTATGAAAATTCTGAATGGAAGTTTATTATGTCGAATAAGAATTTTCATGTTACAATAGTACATGATTGATCCTTAGACTTGAGGCACGATAGTAACTTTGTGCATATTATATTTTACTTTGATTTATCCTTTTGATTGCTAGCACAGTCGTATAAAGGGATATTTTGGGTATTATATTAATATGAATGGAAGATTGTCAGTGGCCAACAAAGGATTCGTCATTTATCAAATAAGTGAATTTCTTATGTGTTTCATAGTTTGTAATTCAAAGTCCTTGGCCAAGGCGGGATGAATAGAGATTCATATATGAATTACTAAACTTGAAATGGAATCATAATTATTAAATCAATTTGGGTTTCGACTAAATCATACCCAAGATTTAATCGGGAAATTGGATGTCGAAAGGATTTTACATATATGGACTTGTAATAAAAAAGGTTTACTCGCTATTCACTTAATACTAGATTCATGCTGCTTGCTAGATGTTCCCATGATATGTGGGTTCTTGAATAAGGAGTTAATTCAAAGAATAAGAATTAATTTGATTAATTCAAATTACAAGGAGTTGTAAATCCATTACTAGTATTAATAGTGAACCTAAAAGGTCACACCCAATTTTGAATGTAGATCATTTGAAATTAGTATTTCTAAGGAGTTAGAATTAATTGACAAGTATTAATTAAATAATTTGATTATTTAATTAATTCTAATTTTGATTAGATATCAATTAAAGGAATATACTAAATTAATCAATTTGATTGATTAATTATATTTTGGATATTAATTAAGTAAGTAGTGGAATTACTAAATTAATAGTTGGATTTTAAAATTAGATTTTAAAATTCAAATCCATATTATAATATGATTATAATAAAAGGAGATTTTATAAATATGAGAAATAATATATGTTGATAAATTATTATTTTTTTAGAAATTATAAATCATAATATTTAATCTTTAATTTGATTAAAGATTAAAATAATAATAAAATATTATTAGATGGGATCTAATGACATTTTTATTATTAAAATCATTTAGATCAAGATGCCATCTAATTTGATTAAAATAATAATTTTAAAATGCAAGATGACATCTTGTGATCTAATTGTTTTAGTATAAATAG